TCGAACTCCAAGAGCGCTCCAACAGACAGCATGAGGTTGCGTGGATCAACCACCGCGCCGGCCTTTTTTTTTTTTGAGATGGAGTCAGACTCTGTCGCCCAGGCTGGAGTGCCATGGCATGATGGCGCACTGCCACCTCCACCTCCCAGGTTCAAGCGATTCTCCCACCTCAACCTCCCGAGTAGCTGAGATTATAGGCATGCGCCACCACACCTGGATAATTTCTGTATTTTTAGTAGAGACGGGGTTTCACTATGTTGGCCAGACTGGTCTTGAACTGCTGGCCTCAGGTGATCCACCCACCTCAGCCTCCCAAAGTGTTGGGATTACAGGCGTGAGCCGCTGCACCTGGCCTGCACCTGGGTATTTTTTAGATTTTTTTGTAGAGACGGGATCTTGATATATTGCCCAGGCTGGTCTTGAACTTCTGACCTCAAGCCTCAGCCTCGCTAAGTGCCAGGATTACAGGCGTGAGCCACCATACCAGGAAAAGTAAAGGATTTTAAGATAAGAGGATTATGGCAAATTATTTGGGTGGGTCCAATATAATCACAAGGGTCTTTATAAGAGGGAGACAGAGGATCAGAGTCAGAGAAGAAGTGAGGACAAAAGCAGAGTCCCAGCAAGTGAGAGAGATTTGAAGATTAATGCTACTGACTCGGCCAGGTACTGTAGCTCACACCTGTAATCCCAGGACTTTGGGAGGCTGAAGCACGAAGATCACTTGAGGCCAGGAGTTTGAGACCACCCTAGGCAACATAGCAAGACGCTGTCTCTATGAAAATTGTTCTAAGAAGTTAGCTGGGTGTGATGGCACGTTGCTGTAGTCCTAGCTCCCTGGAAGGCTGGGATGGGAGGATAACATGAGCCCAGGAGCTCCAGACGACAGTGAGCTATGATAGCACCACTGCACTCCAGCCAGGGCAACAGATGGAGACTCTGTCTCTAAACAAAAATAAAAAATAAAAATAAAAAAGCTAGGCGCCGTAGCTCACACCTGTAATCCCAGCACTTCGGGAGGCTGAGGTGGGTGGACCACCTCAGATCAGGAGTTCCAGACCAGCCTGGCCACATGGTGAAACTCTGTCTCTACTAAAAATACAAAAATAAGCCAGACATGGTGATGGGTGCCTATACTCTCAGCTACTAGGGAGGCTGAGGCAGGAGAATCGCTTGAACCAGGGAGGCGGAGGTTGCAGTGAGCCAAGATTGTGCCACGGCACCCCAGTCTGGGTGACAAGAGCAAAACTCCATCTCAAAAAAATTAGATAGATAGATAGATAGATAGATAGATAGATAGATAGATAGATGTCATTCACTTAGCTTTAGACTGCACAGGCTGTCCTTTATATCCATGACAGGTGTGAGCCACCGCACCCGGCCTTACTCCTGAGTAAGCTGGGACTACAGGTATGTGCCACCACACCCAGCTATAATTTTTGTAGTTTTTGGTTGACACGTAGTTTCGCCATGTTTCCCAGTCTGGTCTCGAACTCCTGAGCTCAAGTGATCCTCCCACCTCAGCCTCTCAAAGTGCTGGGATTATAGACATGAGCCACTGTGCCCGGCCTGGGACTATGATCCGGCTATAGGACTCCCTATCTCTCCATGTCTGTCGTCTCTGGCTGTTCTGGACTCGGTCTGTCTGTACTGGTGACTTCCTCAGTGTGTAACTGTCCGTGTCTGTCTGTCTGTCCTTGTGCCTGTACTTTGTGCTCTTTGTCCCCGTCCCTGGTACCCCCACCATCCACTTTACAGGTGGCTAGGCTGGGCACAGTAGCTCACACTTGTAATCCCACAGTAGCTCACACTTGTAATCCCATTCACTTTGGAAGACCGAGGCCAGGGGATTGCTGGAGGCCAGAAGTTCAAGACCAGACCAGGAAATAAAGCGAAACCCCATCTCTACAAAAAAATGTTTTTTTTCTTTCGAGGTAGAGTCTCACTCTGTCGCCCAGGCTGGAGTGCAGTGGCACAATCTCGGCTCATTGCAAGCTCCGCCTCCCGGGTTCATGCCATTCTCCTAACTCAGCCTCCAGAGAAGCTGGGACTACAGGTGCCCGGCACCACACCCGGCTAATTTTTTGTATTTTTAGTAGAGACGGGGTTTCACCGTGTTAGCCAGGATGGTCTCGCTCTCCTGACCTCAGGTGATCTGCCCGCCTCAGCCTCCCAAAGTGCTGGGATTACAGGTGTGAGCCACCGCACCCGGCCTTACTCCTGAGTAAGCTGGGACTACAGGTATGTGCCACCACACCCAGCTATAATTTTTGTAGTTTTTGGTTGACACGTAGTTTCGCCATGTTTCCCAGTCTGGTCTCGAACTCCTGAGCTCAAGTGATCCTCCCACCTCAGCCTCTCAAAGTGCTGGGATTATAGACATGAGCCACTGTGCCCGGCCTGGGACTATGATCCGGCTATAGGACTCCCTATCTCTCCATGTCTGTCGTCTCTGGCTGTTCTGGACTCGGTCTGTCTGTACTGGTGACTTCCTCAGTGTGTAACTGTCCGTGTCTGTCTGTCTGTCCTTGTGCCTGTACTTTGTGCTCTTTGTCCCCGTTCCTGGTACCCCCACCATCCACTTTACAGGTGGCTCCCTCTGGTGGTCCACCAGTGACCATCCAGGCCAAATGGACCAAGGAAAAAAGAGTTAAGAGACAGGGAGGCATTTTATTAATAGATTTTGAATCTTGGCTGCTGCGGAGCGGGGAAGGAGAGACGAGGGCCGAGGCACGATACAGGGGACCAGACAAAGTCCAGCCTGGCGGGGACGGACCTGGGGGTCTGCCTTCCCAGGCTGACTACTTATTGCCCACCCATCCCCAACATAATTAGCAGGCAGGATGCCTGGGTTTCTCACAGGGGGTGGGGGCAGGGCCTCTGTCCGGGGACGTCACCCGTTAAACTTCCTCTCTCAGCCACACAGGAAGCTGAGCCGGCTTGGGGCCCAGCAAACACAGGCCCCCAGGACCCCTGGGGAGAGGGCCCCGCTGGGCTGGCCCTGCAGGGACCATGGAATCCAGAGCTGAGTAAGAGTCTCCCCATCCCTCATTCTCTGGTACAAGATTCCCAGGCCAGGCCTGAGCCGGCGCAGAGGGGAGCTGGGGCTGGAGCAGGCCAGGGAGGTGCAGTGACCTGGAGGGGCAGGTGGCTGGAATCAGATACTCCGCGGGCCTCCGCTATGACCTCCACTCTGGGATGGGCCACTCTCGGTCCCCTCCTGTCTCTCTCTCTATATTCAGCTCCTGTGATTATGTCTGTAGCTCTGTGGATGCATGTACCCCTCTGAGCTTTGTCCTTGGTATGTCTGAGTGATGGCTTCAGGGGGGTCCCACGGGGGGCGATCAGGGCAGAGGGGAGGCTGGGTGTTCGTATGAGTGGGTGATCGTGTGTGACTTGTGTCAGCATGAGGGTGAAGTGCTGGGGTGCCCCATGGCAGAGACTGTGTGTACAACTGGGCAGGACGGTGTGTCTGTAGCTGATCTCCCTCCAGATCTCCTGTCTCTCTCCTTGAGCCCAAGGCTGCATCTTCTGCTTGATATGGGGGCAGAGGAGGAAAGCAGAGATTGCAGGGCTTACAGTAAGTACCTAGGTATCCTGCCCTCCTTGCTCTGATGAGACATGTGGGATCAGCCACCAGGGTTCTATGGGGTCTCTCACACAGAGACACACAGACAGCCCACAAGGATCCCACGCAGTTACCCAGCGACATTCATAGCTGTACAGGAAAATATAGACGTCATTCACTTGCTCGGGCACACACACTCACATCTATACAAGAAAATACAGATGTTGTGGCTAGATGCAGTGGCTCATGCCTGTAATCCCAGCACTTTGGGAGGTCAAGGTGGGCAGATCGCCTGAGGTCAGGAGTTCGAGACCAGCCTGGCCAACATGGTGAAACCCTGTCTCTACTAAAAATACAAAAATTAGCTGGGCATAATGGTAGGCACCTGTAATCCCAGCTACAGGGAGGCTGAGGCTGGAGAATCGCTTGAACCTCCTGGGTGGGGCGGAGGTTGCAGTGAGCCAAGATTGTGCCACGGCACCCCAGTCTGGGTGACAAGAGCAAAACTCCATCTCAAAAAAATTAGATAGATAGATAGATAGATAGATAGATAGATGTCATTCACTTAGCTTTAGACTGCACAGGCTGTCCTTTATATCCATGCAGTCCCACCCCACAGATATAGGGGACAGTCTCGTCTTTTCAGGCAGACAGCAGACAGGATCACACACACACTCACTGCCTGCTCACACAAGCCACGCACTCAGCCACACACAATCACACACAGCCACACGCACACAGCCACACTTTCTCACTCCATCCCGTACTTGTGTGCACCATTAACACTGCTGCACACACAGCCTCACACAACCACACACTCACAGCCACAGAGCCCCAGAGTCATCTTGTGGCACAGGCACACACAACCACGCTTGTGTGCAAAGTGGCAGACACAACCACACATGCCTAGAAGCAAGTCTCTGGATCCCTTCTGCATCCCACAGAGGGGGCTCCCCTGCCGTGTTTGATTGGTTCTTCGAAGCGGCCTGCCCCGCCTCCCTGCAGGAGGGTGAGTTGGGAGCCTGGGAGTGAGGGAGTGGGAGGGGAGGGTGGGCCTGGGTCACTGAACTTAGAGGCCTGCTCTCTTCTACAGATCCCCCCATCCTGCGGCAGTTCCCTCCAGACTTCAGGGACCAGGTATTCAAGCTGGCTCCTTGCTCCCCCAGGGCCAGGGCCGGTCCCCCAGGGGGAGGGGACTCTGTTTCTTGGACCTGGAGCCTAGGGAGGTGGTGCCCAACCTCAGTGGCCAAGCAGTCTGCACTTTTCTTCATCTCCAGGAAGCTATGCAGATGGTGCCTAAATTCTGCTTCCCTTTTGATGTGGAAAGGTACGAAAGGGCGGGGAGATCCAAGGACTCAGGGACTCAGATCTCTCAGGGGCCCCAAGGACTCAACACCTAGAGACTCAGACATCTGGAAACCCATACACTCGAGGACCCTGAGACTCAAAGGCTCAGGCACTCAGGAGCCCTGAGAACTAGGGACCTATATGCATTAGCATCCAGGGATTCAGACACTCAGGGACCCAGAGATCCAGGTACTCAGGAACCCAGGGACCCAGGGACTCAAGAACCTAGGAACCCAGGGACCCAGGAGCTCAGGGACTCAGGAACAGAGATTCAGGGACTCAGGAATCTAGGGACTCAGGGACTCAGGGACCCAGGGACTCAGAGACATAGAGATTCAGGGACTCAGGAATGCAGGGACTCAGGGACTCAGGGACCCAGGGACCCAGGGACTCAGGGACACACAGATTCAGGGGCTCAGGAACCCAGAGACTCAGGGACTCGGGGACTCAAGGATTCAGGGACTCAGGGACACAGGGACCCAGAGACTCAGGGACTCAAGGACTTAAGGATTCAGGGACTCAGGGACACAGGGATTAAGGGATCCAAGGACTCAGGAACCCAAAGACTCAGAAATTCAGGGACCCAGGGACTCAGGAACCCAGGGACCCAGGGACCCAGGGACTCAGGGACCTAAGGACCCAGGGACCCAGGGACTCAGGGATCCAGGGACCCAGAGATCCAGAAACCCAGAGATCCAGGGACTCAGGGACTCAGGAACCCAGGGACCTAGGGACTCAAGGACCCAGGGACTCAAGGACCCAGGGACTCAGGGACCCAGAGATCCAGGGACCCAGAGATCCAGGGACCCAGAGATTCAGGGACCCAGGGATTCTGAGACCCAGGGACCCAGGCTTGCAGGGATCCTGACAACTAGAGACTCATACTCAGGATCCCAGGAACTTTGCTGGGGAGGGGGGACATCCTCAGACAGCTGGGATGTCCAGGTCTCTCTAACAGCCCTTCCCACTCCAGGGAGCCCCCCAGCCCCGTCGTGCAGCATTTCACCTTCGCCCTCACAGACCTTGCCGGCAACCGCAGATTTGGTTTCTGCCGCCTGCGGGCGGGTACCCAGAGCTGTCTCTGCATCCTCAGGTGCGGGATATGGGGGTTGGATGCGGGGGGGATGGGAAAGGCCGAGGCCTAGGGACACTTCGTGGAACCTGTCTCCTCTATCCACAGCCACTTGCCCTGGTTTGAGGTGTTTTACAAGCTACTGAACACAGTGGGAGACCTCCTAGCTCAGGACCAGGTGAGACCAGCCCCTCTCTCACTCCTGTGGGAGTCCCAGCCCCCACCCCCCAACCTCCCAACCCCTCCCTTTCAGATCTCCCAGGCCTGGCAGGGCACACTGTGTCACACCTGTAGTCCCAGCATTTTGGGAGGCTGGGGTGGGAGAATCGCTTGAGCCCAGGAGTTTGAGACCAGCTGGGCAACATCTTTTGTAGACCTGCCTCTACAAAATCTTTTAAAAAATTGACGGAGTTCGGTGGCTCACACCTGTAATCCCAGCACTTTGGGAGGAAGAGGTGAGCAGATAACCTGAGGTCAGGAGTTCGAGACCAGCCTGACCAAGACGGTGAAACCCGTCTCTTTTTTTTTTTTTTTTGGAGACGGAGTCTCGCTCTGTCGCCCAGGCTGGAGTGCAGTGGCTGGATCTCAACTCACTGCAAGCTCCGCCTCTCGGGTTTACGCCATTCTCCTGCCTCAGCCTCCCGAGTAGCTGGGACTACAGGCGCCCGCCGCCTCGCCCGGCTAGTTTTTTGTATTTTTTAGTAGAAAACGGGGTTTTCACCGTGTTAGCCAGGATGGTCTCGATCTCCTGACCTCGTGATCGCCCGTCTCGGCCTCCCAAAGTGCTGGGATTACAGGCTTGAGCCACCGCGCCCGGCCGAAACCCGTCTCTACTAAAAATACAAAAAAAAAAAATTAGCCAGGTGTGGTGGCACATGCCCGTAATCCCAGCTGCTTGTAGACTGAGGCAGGAGAATAGCTTGAACCCGGGGAGGCAGAAGTTGCATGAGCCGAGATCACGCCATTGCACTCCAGCTTGGGCAACAAGAGCGAAACTCCGTCTCAAAAAAAAAAAAAAAAAAAAAAAGAAAAATTAGCCAGACGTGGTGGTGCACACCTGTGGTCCCAGCTACTCAGGAGAGCAAGGTGGGAGGATCGCCTGAGCCCAGGAGTTCGAAGTTATGGTGAGCTATGATCACAGCACTGCACTCCAGCCTGAGACCAGAGCAAGACCCTGGCCCACCAGCCAGCTAATTTTTTTTTTTTTTGTACTTTTAATAGAGACGTGGTTTCACCATGTTGGCCAGGCTGGTCACGGGCTCCTGGCCTCAGGTGATCCGCACGCCTCAGCCTCCCAAAGGGTTGGGATTACAGGCGTGAGCCACCACGCCCGGCCTACAAGAAAACATTTAAATTAAAAAATTTTAAAAGCCAGACGCGGTGGCTCACGCCTGTAATTGTAGCCCTTTGGGAGGCCGAAGCAGGAGGATCCCTGGAGCCCAGGAGTTCAAGACCAGCCTGGGCTGGTCTCTATTAGACCTTGTCTCTATTATTATTATTATTATTAAATTTCTTTTAAAGAAATAAAAAAAAAAAAACCTCCCAGGCCTGACCTGAGCCCTTGGCTCCTCCCAGACCACTCAAGCTTACTCAGAGCCCTCGGAATCCCCAATCCCCACATCTGGCTCAGCCACCCCTGCCCCTCCACGTCCCACCCAGGTCTCCGAGGCAGAGGAACTTCTTCAAAATCTGTTTCAGCAGTCCCTGTCTGGGCCCCAGGCCTCAGTGGGGCTGGAACTGGTGAGTAGCTCCCATTCCCTGGGCGCTGGACCTTAGGTGGATGGGAAGGCTGAGCCCCAACCCTGATGACCACAGAATCGCGCCTCTTCCCCAGGGCAGCGGAGTGACCGTCTCCAGCGGGCAGGGTATCCTGCCCCCTACCCCGGGAAATAGCAAGCCGGTGAGCGGGGCTCGGGGACCCTGGAAGGTCGGGGGTCCAGGTGAGGCCAGCCTCCTGACTGATTGATCCCCCTGCCAATACCCCCACCAGCTGTCCTGTTTCGTGGCCCCGGACTCCGGCCGCCTGCCATCCATCCCTGAGAACGTGAGTGGGGACCCGGGAGGGGTCTCTGGGGATGGGGACAGGTCCCGAAACCCGGACCGGGGATGCAAGATCCAGGGGCCAGTCCACGCCCAGCGCACCTCTCTGATCCTCAGAGGAACCTAACGGAGCTGGTGGTGGCCGTGACTGACGAGAACATCGTGGCGCTGTTCGCGGCGCTCCTGGCGGAGAGAAGAGTCCTGCTCACCGCTAGCAAACTCAGCACAGTGAGGCGGGGCCCGCCGGGCCGGGGTGGGAGCAGGGTCTGGCTCCGCCCCTGGGGGCGGGACAACGGGGCTGATTCCTGGCTCTAACCCGACTGCGCGAGACCTGAGGGCGAAGCCCTGGCCCCGCCCCTTCGAAGGTCTCGGAGAGTTGAATTCTGGCCCCGCCCTCGTGGGAGGGGGCTGCTTTCAGCTCCTCTTTTTTGGGAGTACTGCGCTCAGGCTCCACCTACTATGGGCTACAACAGGTCTGGCTCCACCCCTCCGGACCCTCAGGTACACTGAGAACTAGGGACCTATACACATGGGGACCCAGGGACTCAGGGACTCAGAGATCCAGGGACCCAGGGACCCGAATACCCAGGGACCTAGGAACACAGGGACTCAGATAACAACTAGAGACCCATACTGCCAGGGACCCCGAGACCCAGGGTCAAAGGCAGAGGCGGAGACTGGCTCCGCCCCCAGGGGCGGGGCCGAATGATTGCATTCCAGCTCCACCTTTTTGGGTGGGGTTGGGTCGTGGCTCCACCCCTAGGGGCGGAACAAGGGCGGGCTACATCATAGCTCCACCTATTTCGGGGTGGAGTGCGTGGAGGCTCAGTCCTTGCTCCACCTGTATGCGCGAAGACTCAGGGGTGTTGCCTATTAACTGCGCCCCTTAGAGAGAGCGATCAGGACGGGATGAGTCCTGGCTTCACCTGCTTAAAGCACTGTTAAGTGGCCAAATCCTGGTCTCCACGTGATTTCTTTTTTTTTTTTTTTTTTTTGAGACGGAGTCTCGCTCTGTCACCTAGGCTGGAGTGCAGTGGCCGGATCTCAGCTCACTGCAAGCTCCGCCTCCCGGGTTCACGCCATTCTCCTGCCTCAGCCTCCCGAGTAGCTGGGACTACAGGCGCCCGCCAGCTCGCCCGGCTAGCTTTTTTTTTTTTTTTTTTTTTTTTTTTTTTTGTATTTTTTAGTAGAGATGGGGTTTCACCGTGTCGGCCAGGATGGTCTCGATCTCCTGACCTCGTGATCCGCCCGTCTCGGCCTCCCAAAGTGCTGGGATTACAGGCTTGAGCCACCGCGCCCGGCCTTCCACGTGATTTCTAAAGGGGTCCGAGTTGTCACTCATTACCCAGCAGTGGATGGGAAGGGGGAACAGGAGACTGGGGACGTGGGAAATGCAGCTGGAAGAGACCCCCGCGCTAGAGGGTCCAGGCCATGACTTCACGCCCCGCCATCGCCCCCCAGCTGACCTCGTGCGTCCACGCGTCCTGCGCGCTCCTGTACCCCATGCGCTGGGAGCACGTGCTGATCCCCACGCTGCCCCCACACCTGCTGGACTACTGCTGGTGAGCGAGGGAAGCTGGGAGGGGCCGGGCCTGGGGGCAGGCCCTGGAGGCGGTGCCTGCATGACCCCGTCCCCTCGGTCCGCAGCGCGCCCATGCCCTACCTCATTGGAGTGCACGCCAGTCTCGCCGAGGTGAGCGCGTATCCACCCAGACGGCGGGGATGTGAGGGTTCCCCCTCCCTCTACATCCCCAGATGCCCTCCTCTGCCAAGGACTCTCGGACTCTGAGCGGCCGGGCCCGCTTTTCCGCAGAGAGTACGAGAAAAAGCTCTGGAGGACGTCGTGGTGCTGAACGTCGACGCCAATACTTTGGAGACAACATTTAACGATGTGCAGGCGCTGCCTCCAGACGTGGTCAGTGTCGCCCCTCCCACCTTCCTGCCCCGGGAGGCGAGGGCCCCACACCTGCCCACTCAGGGCCACTCCCTTGTGCTTCAGGTGTCCCTGCTGAGGCTCCGACTCAGGAAGGTCGCCCTGGCCCCCGGGGAAGGGGTGTCCCGTCTCTTCCTCAAAGCCCAGGCCCTGCTCTTCGGAGGGTACCGCGATGCACTCGTCTGCAGCCCGGTGAGCAGCGGGACCGTTGCGGGAGAGATCTCGTGGGTTCCTGAATGAATCGTAATATAATGATAGGTACGGTAGATGGCCGGACGCAGTGGCTCACGCCTGTAATCCCAACACTTTGGGAGGCCGAGATGGGAGAATTGCTTGAGCCCAGAAGTTCAAGACCAGCCTGAGCAACACAGTGAGACCCCCCCCATCTGTTGTTTGTTTGTTTGTTTGTTTTTGAGACGGAGTTTCACTCTGTCGCCCAGGCTGGAGTGCAGTGGCATGATCTCGGCTCATTGCAACCTCCACCTCTGGGGTTCAAGCGATTCTCCCGCCTCAGACTCCCCAATAACTGGGACTACAGGTGCGCACCACCACGCCCAGCTAATTTTTGTAATTTTAGTAAAAACGGAGTTTCTCCATGTTGGCCAGGCTGGTCTCGAACTCCTGACCTCAGGTGATCTGCCCACATCGGGCTCCCAAAGTTCTGGAATTACAGGTGTGAACCACCATGCCCGGCCACCATCTCTATTTTTTTAATTAAAAAAATAATGAGGCCGGGCGCGGTGGCTCAAGCCTGTAATCCCAGCACTTTGGGAGGCCAAGACGGGCGGATCACGAGGTCAGGAGATTGAGACCATCCTGGCTAACACGGTGAAACCCCGTCTCTACTAAAAAAAAAAAAAAAAAATACAAAAAACTACCCAGGCGTGGTGGCGGGGGCCTGTAGTCCCAGATACTCGGGAGGCTGAGGCAGGAGAATGGCGTAAACCCGGGAGGGGGAGCTTGCAGTGAGCTGAGATCTGGCCACTGCACTCCAGCCTGGGCGACAGAGCGAGACTCCGTCTCAAAAAAAAACAGTAATAATAATAATGATAGGTAGCATTAATGGAGTGCTTACTTTGTGCCTCTGTTTGCCCCTCTGTAAAATGGGACCCCGATAGTACCACCCAAAAGGATATTAGAATCAGTGAATCAGCATCTTCCCAGCACTTTGAATCGTACCTGGCATACAGCAAGCACTCAATAAATGCTAGCTCCTACTGCTGCTATTATCTCATTTAATGCTCATGACATTTTGAGATGGATACTGCAATAGTCCTATTTTCCATATGAGGAAACCAAGGCTTTGGAGAAGTCCTATAGTGGGTGAATGTTGAAGCCAGGGCCTCGATCTCTGAAGCGCCCTCCCCTGTTTTGCACAACCAAGCTATAAAATCGCTGGGGCGGGGCGGGGGGTCCAGTATCACTTGAGCATCTGACGTTCTTGTCATCGCTGCATCCCAAATCTGCACACAGACCACCCACTTCCTCTGTCTCCGCCCTGGTCTGGACCCTGTCGTTGTTTGCCTAAAATTAATGCACTGATCTCTCCCCTGGGACTCCTCCATAAGCAGCCTTCTTTCTTTCTTTTCTTTTTGAGACAGAGTCTTGCTCTCTTGCCCAGGCTGGAGTGCAGTGGCACAATCTCAGCTCACTGCAACCTCCGCCTCCCAGGTTCAAGCAATTCTCCTGCTTCAGCCTCCCGAATAGCTGAGATTACAGGCATGCACCACCACGCTGGCTAATTTTTGTATTTTTAGTACAGATGGGGTTTCACCACGTTAGCCAGGCTGGTCTCAAACTCCAGACCTCAGGTGACCCACCCACCTCGTCCTCCCAGAGTGCTGGAATTACAGGTGTGATCCACTGCGCCCGACCCCCTGCAAGCAGGTTTCTGCTTTATCTCCCAGAGTCTGTCCTCCCCGCAGTGACCAGAGGTCACCTGTGAACACCTGAGTCAGATCATTTCCCTCCCCTGCCCACAGCCCTGCAGGTCTTCCACCTTACTCAAGATAAACACTTAAATCAGCCGGGTGGGTGACTCACCCTGTAATCCCTGCACTTTGAGAGGCCAAGGTGGGTGGATTGCTTGAGCCCAGGAGTTCGGACCAGCGTGGGAAACATAGTGAGACCCTGTCTCTACAAAAACTGCAAAAATTAGCCAGGCATAGTGGCGTGCACCTGTAGTCCCAGCGACTTGAGAGGCTGAGATGGGAGGATCGCTTGAGCTCAGGAGGTAGAGGTTGCAGTGAACCAAGATCACACCACTGCACTCCAGCGTGGGTGACAGAGTGAGACCCTGACTCAAAAAAAGAAATGAAAAAAACAAAACAAAACAAAACAGGGCCGGGCGCGGTGGCTCACACCTGTAATCTCAGCACTTTGGGAGGCTGAGGCGGGTGGATCACGAGGTCTAGAGATCGAGACCATCCTGGCCAACATGGTGAAACCCCATCTCGACTAAAAATACAAAAATTAGCTGGGAGTGGTGGCACGTGCCTGTAGTCCCAGCTACTCAGGAGGCTGAGGCAGGAGAATCGCTTGAACCCTGGAGGCGGAGGTTGCAGTGAGCTGAGATTGCACCACTGCATCCCAGCCAGGCGAGAGAGTGAGACTCTGTCTCAAAAAACAAAAACAAAACAAACAACAACAACAACAAAACAGCTTAAGTCCTCCCTGCCATCCACGAGGCCCCACACAGGGTCAGACACACAGCAGGTGGCTAATCAATGTTTGCTACCTAAATATATAGTAGAATGAGGGAGGGCCAGGAACACCCCAGGGAGCTCAGAACTCCAACGCTTCTTCCAGGGCCAGCCAGTGACCTTCAGTGAGGAAGCCTTCTTGGCCCAGAAGCCTGGGGCACCTCTGCAGGCCTTCCACCGGCGGGCTGTGCACCTGCAGCTGTTCAAACAGGTATGCCAGAGCCCTGAGGGTCCAGCTGGGGCTGGAGGTGGACTGCTGAGACCCCGAGGGCTTGTCTGAACTGGCAGGGTTGAGGGCAGACTCCTGGGTCCCTGAGGGTATCGCTGTAGACGGTCCAGCAGGATCCCCTACTCCAGGGTTCCCAAGTGGGGAAGGACTGAACTCCTGGATTCCTAAAGATGGGAGCCCCCTGCTGGGCACGGTGGCTCATGCCTGTAATCCCAGCACTTTGGGAGGCCGAGGCAGGCGGATCACAAGGTCAGGAGTTCGAGACCAGCCTGACCAACATGGTGAAACCCCATCTCTACTAAAAATAAAAAAATTAGCTGGGCGTGATGGGTTGCACCTGTAATTCCAGCTCAGGAGGCTGAGGCAGGAGAATCACATGAACCCGGGAGGCAGAGGTTGCAGTGAGCCGAGATCATGCCACTGCACTCCAGCCTGGATGACAGAGCGAAACTCTGTCTCTAATAAAACAAAACAAAACAAAAACATGGGAGCCCCCGACTCCTGGGTTCCTGGAGGACAAGACCTACTCCTAGGTCCCTGAGAGAAATCAGGGTGGAACCAAATCCCAGGTCCCTAAGCAGGTAACTTTCTGGGACTGGGGTGGTGGCCCGAGCTGGACTCCAGAGGGGACAGGTCCTGACTGTGAAATCCCAGGATTTCCTGAGTCCTAGGGATATGGGGGGAGGGGTGGCAGGTGGGACTGGACTTCTAGGCCCCTGGGAGAAGGTAGCTTGGACCACAAGATCCCTAAAGATGGGGTCAACCTACTCTTGGCTCACTGAGAGCGGGTGGGTAGGTCTAGAGGAGGTAGAAATCAATTTCTGGGTCCCTGAAAGGGGCGGGGCTTGGTCCCTGGAGACAGGTCCTGACTTAGGGAGAGAGGAGAAAGTGGGATCTCTGGTTCCTAAAGTGGGCTCTGGTCTGGGGGCAGTGGCTCACGCCTATAATCTCAGCACTTTGGGAGCCCAGGGCAGGCAGATCACCTGAGGTCAGGAGTTCAAAACCAGCCTGGCCAACATGGGGAAACCATGTCTCTACAAACAATATAAAAGTTAGCTGGGCATGGTGGTGCACCCCTGTAATCCCAGTTACTTGGGAGGTTGAGGCAGGAGAATCACTTAAACCGGGGAGGCAGAGCTTGCAGTGAGCTGAGATCTTGCCACTGCACTCCAGCCTGGGTGACAGAGTGAGACTTCATCTCAAAAAAAATAATAAAAAATAAAGTGGGCTCCAGTTTCCCAGGTGCTTGGGGGTGGGCAGGTTGGAGGCCAGAGATGGCTTCTACATCTTGATAGCAGGCGGGCTGCTAAGTGCTGGCATTCAGATGTGTCTCCTGCTGCTTCTGATTTACTGTCCCCACCCCAGTTCATCGAAGCCCGACTGGAGAAGCTCAACAATGGGGAGGGCTTCTCAGATCAATTCGAGCAGGAGATCACCGGCTGCGGGGCCTCCTCAGGTGAGCCCTGAGTCCAGCCCTCAGGTCCCCACCCACCCACCAGCACCCCCTGCCTCAGCCAGCCTTTGGTGACCACCACACTCTCTCCTTACCCCAGGGACCATTCGATCCTATCAGCTCTGGGCAGACAATCTAAAGGTAAGACCACCAAAACAATAGGCCTTAGCTTAGGCCTGTAAACCCAACACATTGGGAGGCGGAGACAGGATTGCTGAGACCAGAAGTTTGAGACCAGCCAGGACAACACGGTGAAACCCCATCTCTACTAAATTAAAAAGGAGAGAGGAGAAAGTGGGATCTCTGGTTCCTAAAGTGGGCTCTGGTCTGGGGGCAGTGGCTCACGCCTATAATCTCAGCACTTTGGGAGCCCAGGGCAGGCAGATCACCTGAGGTCAGGAGTTCAAAACCAGCCTGGCCAACATGGGGAAACCATGTCTCTACAAACAATATAAAAGTTAGCTGGGCATGGTGGTGCACCCCTGTAATCCCAGTTACTTGGGAGGTTGAGGCAGGAGAATCACTTAAGAACCCTGGACGCGGAGGTTGCAGTGAGCCGAGATGGCGCCACTGCACTCCAGCCTGGGTGACAGAGTGAGACTGCATTTCAGCAAAAACAAACAAACAAAAAAAACCTCTGTTCTTTGAGACTCCATCTCAAGAAACAAAAACAAACAAACAAAAAACACTTAAGTGTGTCTCAGTGGATTAATTTAATTCCACAACAGTCAGCAGGTAGGGTCATGACTATGATCGTGTTCATTTATAGAGGTGAAAAAATGGAGATTCAGAGAGGGAAAGGGGCTTGATCAGCATCACACAACCTGGGATGGGGAGGTGGGATCTGGCCCTAGCCCCTCCCTCTTGGTGTTTCCTCTCCTGCAGAAAGGCGGTGGTGCCCTCCTGCACTCAGTCAAGGCCAAGACCCAACCAGCAGTCAAGAACATGTACCGCTCGGTGAGGCTGAGCTGGACAGGCCACTCTCGCTGGGGTGATGAGGGGGAGGGGACAGAGGACACTTTGACCTCCCAAGGATGGAGTATTTTGACCCTGGCAGACACTTGAAACACAAATGATTTAATCAGAACTGAACCAGCAGTTAAACCCTTAACAGCTCTTCCCCCTTTTATTTTTTTATTTACTATACTCATTTTTGTTGGAATGAGTATTACTACCCCCCACCCCCCTGTAAAATTGACAGCCAAGATTCACCGGCAAACATTCTTTGTCCTTGGATGCCACAATTCCAGGTTCTGCCTTTTTTCTCCCAAGCTCAGAAGTTTCCTGGGGCCAGTTCTTGCAGCTCAAAATTGTCCATGCGATGTTATTCTTCACAGCTTTGAGACAGGAACACCTTGCCCTGTTGCTTCGCCATTCCCCATTTTATTTGGGGATGCCTTCCTCCGGGAATACTAATTTTATATTAGTCAAAGGGGTGAAAGTTTGCATTGACTTCTTAGGTGGTGTATGGCGGGTGGTGAACATATTTGAGACACGCAGATGGCAAAATAAAGCTATCTTAGGGGACAGAAGGCTGAGCTCTCAAATGCCCAGGATCCCACCACCCTCGGGTAATTCTCTCTCCACTGCTTTATAGGCCAAGAGTGGCTTGAAGGGGGTGCAGAGCCTTCTAATGTATAAGGTAAGACCAACAGCCGGGTGCAGTGGCTCACCCCTGTAATCCTGGCACTTTGGGAGGCCGAGGCAGGAGGACCGCTTGAGTCCAGGAGTTTGAGACCAGCTTGGGTAATATAGTGGGACCTTGTCTCTACAAAAAAAATTTTTTTAATTTTAAAATTAGCTGAATATGGACTGCTTGAGTCCAGAAGGCAGAGGTTGTAGTAAGCTGAGATAGCACCACTGCACACCAGACTGGGTGACAGAGAGAGACCCTGTCTCAAAAAAAAGAAGACTGTGGCCGGGCGCGGTGGCTCACTCCTGTAACCCCAGCACTTTGGGAGGCCAAGGAGGGCCGATCACTAGAGGTGAGGAGTTTGAGACCAGCCTGGCGAACATAGAGAAATCCTGTCTCTACTAAAAAAAAATACAAAAATTAAGCAGCCGTGGTGGTGGGCATCTGTAATCCTAGATACTCTGGAGGCTGAGGCATGAGTATTGCTGGAACCCAGGAGGTAGAGGGCAGTGAACCGGATCGTGCCACTGCACTCCAGCCTGGGTGATAGAGGGAGACTCTGTCTCAAAAAAAAAAAAAAAAAAAAAAAAAAAAAAAAAGACCAATGGTAGGGGGTAATGGAGAGACTTCGTGGCAGAGGTTCTCAGTTCATGCATTCTCTTCCTAGGATGGGGACTCTATCCTGCAGAGGGGGGGCTCTCTGAGGGCCCCAGCCCTTATCAGCCGCTCAGACCGCCTGCAGCAACGCCTCCCAATCACTCGGCACTTTGGACAGGTGAGAGCGCCCCCTCCCGCCATGCACACACCTGGAATTATCACTGAATCCTCCACCCATCCCAGTCCCCATCCAGACATCTCACCTCCTTCTTCAGCTTCCCTAATATGTGGCACCCACTTCACACTCACCCTCCTTTAGCAAGCCTCAGCCCCCTGATTCTGCAGTCTCCTGAGGTCCTATCACCCCCACCCTTTGCAGAACCGGCCCCTTCGCCCCAGCAGGAGACGCCGGCTGGAAGAGGGACCTTCCGAGCCCCCAGGGGTGGGGTAAGGCTAAAAGGGAACAGCGGTGTTGAAAGTGGGAGGCCAGGACTGATGGGGAAGAGGGTCCCCAAACTCCAGAGCAGCCTGACCAGGGCTGGGGGGTCTCGGGCAAATATCTGAGGCTGCCCATCCTCACCCAGGACACCCCCTCTGAGTCCTGAGGATGAGGGGTGCCCATGGGCAGAAGAAGCTCTGGACAGCAGCTTCTTAGGGTCTGGAGAAGAACTGGATTTGTTGAGCGAGATTCTGGACAGTCTTAGCGTGGGAGCCAAGAGTGCAGGCAGCCTGAGACCGAGCCAGAGTTTAGACTGCTGTCACAGAGGAGACCTGGACAGCTGCTTCAGCCTGGTGAGAGCCTTGCCCACTCCCCCAACCCCCCCCCCAAGTCTTCCCCTAATGGTCCATCCAACTTGCCAGCCCCTCTGCCATCTAAAAGCCACAACTTCCCTATCCATCCCACCTAGCCTAACATACCAAGATGGCAACCAGACGATCAGAAACTACCAGAGCCAGAGCCTCAGCCCCTGTCCCTGCCATCCCTGCAGAGCACCTCGTCTTTGGATGCCACCAGCTCTTCAAAGGACCCCAGGTCCCAGCTAATACCCTCAGAGTCCGACCAAGAAATCATCTCTCCATCCCAGTCCTCAACAGCTTCTGCAGACCCAAGCAGCCGAGGGGACCCCGAACCCTCTCCTCTCACAGAGCCCCTAATTCATCTCGCCCCTTCCCACAAGGCAGCTGAAGATTCTAGAACCCAGGAAAACCCCGCTTCCTGGCTCTCCACTGCACCCACTGAGCCCAGCCCTCCAGAAAGCCCCCAAATTCTGGCCCCCACAAAGCCCAACTTTGATATAGCCTGGACGTCCCAGCCCCTCGGTCCTTCCTCAGACCCCAGTTCTCTGGAGGACCCCAGAGCCCAGTCTCCCAAGGCCCTGCTAGCAGAGCACGCTCACCTCCAGCCACTCGAGGAACCAGGAGCCCCGAATTCCCCTGCTACACCCACCAGCAACTGGCAAAAGCTCCAGCCCAGCAGCCGGCCCAGAGTCGCTGATCTTAAGAAGTGCTTTGAGGGTTAAGAATCAGGGGTCCAGGAGAGACCCCAGTCCCTCAGTAAAGCCACAGGAGCCCAAAGGTGGTTTTTTCCTGGTGAATTTCTCTGGTGCCCTCATTCTGCTCAGAAATCCATCCCACCCACCTCTGTCCCTCCAAGGGCAGCCTCTCTAACTGAGTCGTAGCGGGGAATTCCAGGAAGCCTCCTGGTCCTCTAGAATCCCGGCAACCTTACAGTTCCTCTCGGCATTCGTCACCTCCATCTCAGCTAATGCTCCCACCAGCTCAAACACACCAATAAAGCTTTTATTACATCTTACTTCTAATTTTATATACATATATAAAAGTGAATAGCCCCATCCTCTCCTGACCTCAGGGGCAGAGTCTTGAAGTACCTTCTTCCCTGCTATTCTTAAGCACTGGGTGGATCTGACTGCCCAGAGAGGGCACTGCCTTTCCCCAAGGTCATACAGCAATGAAGGGAGACAGATGCAGGAGAGGGGACCTAGATGGGCAGGCAGCCCCGCACCGTCTCCTTGGAGTCCTGAGGGGCCCGGGCCTCAGCTGCATGGGAGAACTGAAAGAAAGGAGAGGGGGCTGTGGAGCCTGCAGGACACACAGAGAAAAGTTGGTTCCGCAAGCGGGGAGGTGGGTCCCGAGCCCCAGCACCCTGAGCTGCAGGCATAGCCAAGCAGAGGCAACATGCTGCACAGAGCCCACCAGGTGGGTGCCCCCAGCCTCTCCCCACAAGTCCTCCTGTGCCATCAGAGGCTGGTGTCTCGGTGGCAGCTGCAGTGTACAAGCCAGCACCCCGCAGTCCTGGGCAGTGTTGGTGACTGCAGCAGGCCCCAGCGTTCAGATGAGCCGCTCTTCCGGCGGCAACTTGAGGTTGGGGGTCGGTGGCACACGGGCACCCACCTGCTCCTCGCTGCTGGGCCGGTAGGTGCCCTCCGTCTGCCGCTTCTCCCGAAGCTTCCACACCAACAGTGCCAGCCCCACAGCCAGGAGCAAGATGGCCAGGATGGAGAAGACCACAATGATAGCAGTGATGGCCCCCTGAGACTTCAGAGAGGGGACAGGGGTGAATCACCTGAGCCTGGGTAGCCTGTCCACCTCCACCTGAATTGCACCGCCCTCATCAACCCCCAACCCACAACACACACACATATCTGCCACTTTTGGTGATCTGATCCCCACACTGGGGCTTCCTGGATCCCTACCTACCTTATCTGGGGTGCTAAGGCTCCCCACCACCTGCCATGTCTGGGACACCCCTCGCAAGCACCTGCCATGTCTGGGACTTGGGCTTTTTTTTTTGAGACAGAGTCTTGCTCTGTCACCCAGGCTGGAGTGCAGTGTCACGATCTCAGCTCCCTGCAACCTCCGCCTCCTGGGCTCAAGTGATTATCCCTGCCTCAGCCTCCCGAGTAGCTGGGATTACACACGTGTGCCACCCTGCCTGGCTAATTTTTTGTATTTTTAGTAGAGATGGGGTTTCACCATGTTGGCCAGGCTGGTCTCAAACTCCTGACCTCATAATCTGCCTGCCTCAGCCTCCCAAGGTGCTAGGATTACATGTGGGAGCCACCGCGCCCAGCCAGGACTCCTGCTTTCATCATATCTACCAAGTCTGAGCTCCTTGCTTCCCCACCCACCTGAGAGGCATGTGGAGTTCCTGAGCCCCCACATCTGACAGCTACAGTGTTCCTGCCCACTCCCTCTAGGGTCTCCTAGTCTTCCTGGTCTAAGACTTCAGGTCTCTCCTACTTAGAGCTCTCCAAAGCCACCCTGACCTGCCACCTCTGGGGGAAGGGGGTGTCTAGTCCTCTCTACATGCTGTATGTGTGGCCCCTGGATAACAACCTTACTGCCATCTTCCCACATATACCTCCAACTCACCAAGTTGCCATTGGAGCTGGAGCCGGGGCTGGTGGGTGAAGGCACAACAGTGCTACTGTCATATGCAGAAGAGGTCAATCCTGTGGAGGTTGAAGGCAGAGAATAAATCAGTCTCCATCTTTCTCTCCCATCCCCGCCATGGGCACCTGCTTTGGTCATTCCCCTTCACCTCCTCCCAGCAAGTCCCGATTCAAACTCTGCCTTTCATTCGCACAGAGACAGTGGGCGCCTTGCAGGCAGGACCTGTCCCTCCGGTGTTTGCTCCTCCGGACACCCCCCCCACCCAGCCCAGCAGAGCCCAGTAGGGTGTCCGGAAGTCCAACCCTCCCCCATTCACCACCCGGCCCTGGGCCCTTAAGGATCTGGGCGGGCCTAGCTTTTCGCTGGAGTGTCTGACTCACACCTCCCCCCAGGCTCCCAAAACAAATCTAAGACTGAATGGCTGGGGTCTACACCTTCAGCCAAACGGGTGGACCGGGCTCGGCAGGCCTCCTCCCAGCTCCCAGTTCACCCAAAACACCTGCACTATGCCAGGACTCAGGTACACAGCCCTTACCTCCCACCAAGTCCTACTTAGGAGCCCCTACTACAACACACAATTCCACCTGACTCAGGAACTCAGGTCTCCTAGACCACCTCCCAGGGTCCAAGGAAGAAACTAGAAATCTTAATCTCCCCGAGCCCTAACCCTGTAGACCCCTCCCCAAGGTATTTCTTGCCCGCTTCCCAATTCTTGACCCTCTCTGTGCCCCAGATACCCAGCGCTTCTAAGCCACGTCCCCAGCAGAGATCCAGGAATCCGGACCCCTCCCCCCAGAGCACTCAGCTGGTACCTACTTAGCCCCCAGACTCGGCCCCAGCGGGCCAGCAGGAACGGCAGGCCCAGCACCAGGAGCAGCCCCAGCCCGGGGTTCGCCATGGGCTGGGTGGCGGGTTGGCAGCGCCGAGGAAGGGGCTTCTCGCGCGCGCCCCTCCTACCGCATCTCCGGCCAGGGGCACCTGCGACGGGGCACCTGGGGGCAGGAGAAGGAGAGAGGCCCGGGCATTGGGATCGGGGTCTGGACCCGGGCGCAGGCCCACAGGAGAAACAACTGGCGCCAGGGCACCCATGAGTCCCGCCCCGCCCCAGCCGCCAGAGGTCAGCGATTAAAGATTAACTCCTGGGAGCGCGTTCCTGGGCTGGGGAAAGGAAGGCGACGGGACGGGTAGGGTGGACGGGCGAGGGCGCAGGCCTAGCGGTGCGTCCTGCTTTCCTACCTGGCCCGGGCGTCTTTGACCTAGCTCAGGTTCCTGGTCCGTGCCCCTCCCTCGAACCCTCGGTCCGTCGGTCGGTCTTTGGGTCCGATCCCACCGGCTCCGCCCGCTCACGTGACCCGGAAAGTTTAGTCACTCACCTGGGAGGAGAGCGCACTTCCGGCTTGTGCACCTGAGCCTCGATAAGAGGGCGGAGCCAAGAAGGGGGCGGGGCCGCGCTGCGGGCGCACCTGTAACGGGACCCTCACACCTGCATTGCGAGCCATGTGTAGGAGCGCACAGGTGTGGAGACGCACGGGGTATGTATGTACCCGTGCACGAGGCACTCCTGCCTAGGGCAGACTTGGATGGGGAGCGCTCAATGAGAAAAAACACCCGCCCAGGCACAATGGCTCACGCCTGTAATCCCAACACTTTGAGAGGCTGAGGCAAGAGGATCGCTTGATGCCAGGAGTCCGAGACCAGCCTGGGCAACACAGCGAAGCCTGATTCTCTACCAAAAAAAAAAAAAAAAAAGAAGAAGAAGAAGAAGAAGAAAATAAGCCCGGGGCTCTGGCATGATCCTGTAATCCCAGCGCTTTGAAAGACCAAAGCAAGAGAATCACTTGAGGCCAGGAGATCGAGATCCGCCTGGCCCACATAGGGAGCCCCATCTTTACAAAACAATAAGAAAATTAGCCGGATGTGATGGCACCCACCTGTAGTCCCAGCTACTTGGGAGGCTGAGGTGGGAGGATGGATTGAGCCCAGGAGTGGAGGTTACAGTGAGTGAGCTATGATTGTACCACTGTACTCCAGCCTGGGTGACAAAGTAAGACCCTGTCTCTAAAAAAATTTTAAAAAGATAAAACACCTGTACGGGGCCGGGCACGGTGGCTCAAACCTGTAATCCCAGCACTTTGGGAGGCCGAGACGGGCGGATCACAAGGTCAGGAGATCGAGACCATTCTGGCTAACACGGTGAAACCCCATCTCTACTAAAAAAATACAAAAAACTAGCCGGGCGTGGTGGCAGCGCCTGTAGTCCCAGCTACTCGGGAGGCTGAGGCAGGAGACTGGCGTGAACCCGGGAGGTGGAGCTTGCAGTGAGCTGAGATCCGGCCACTGCACTCCAGCCTGGGCGACAGAGCGAGACTCCGTCTCAAAAAAAAAAAACAAAAAAAACCACCTGTACGGTTAACACCTGTGTGGAATCAAACCTGTACAGGCATTCACATATAAGAACACACAGAAAACATCTGGCCAGGTGCGGCGGCTCATGCCTGTAATCCCAGCACTTTGGGACGTCTAGGCGGGAGGATCACCTAACGTCAGGAGTTCGAGACCAGATCAGCTTGGCCAACATGGTGAAACTCTTGGCTTTACTAAAAATACAAAAATTAGCTGGGTGTGGTGGCAGGCACCTGTAATCTCAGCTACTCGGGGGCTGAGGCAGGAGAATTGCTTGAACTCAGGAGACAAAGGTTGCAGTGAGCCGAGACTGGGCCATTGCACTCCACCCTGGGCAACAAGAGTGAAATTCCATCCCATAAAAAGAAAAAAAAATCTGCATTGAATCACAGCTATATGAAATATAACCAAGGCCAGGCATGGTGGCCCATGCCTGTAATCCTAGCACTTTGGGAGGCCGAGGCAGGTGGATCACGACGTCATGAGTTCAAGACCAGCCTGGCCGAGATGGTGAAATCCCTGGCTCTACTAAAACGAATACAAAAATTAGCTGGCGTAGTGGTGGGCGCCTGTAATCCTAGCTACTTGGGAGGCTGAGGCAGGAGAATCGCTTGAACCCTGGAGGCGGAGGTTGCAGTGAGCCGAGGTTATGCCACTGCACTCTAGCCTGGGTGACAGAGCAAGACTCTGTCAAAAAAAAAAAAAAGAGAGAAAAGAAAAGAAATATGACCAAATGGATACATACCACCAGGGTGGACAATATCTCTACAGAACACGCCTGCATTATCATCACAAACAGCTAAGGCACCCTGATGTGGAATAGACCTGTTTTAGGAACACATCTGCAGGCTCACCTATGAAATGTACAGCACTTGTATTGGGAAATTACTGGGGTGTCAGTGTCTTGTAAATCTCTGTATGAGACATACCTGCATTTACGTAGAGCTATATGGGACTTGGTTATATGGAAACATACCCAGATGGGTGTGTACTTAACTGAAACACACCTATGGGGCGGGAGACTGTAGAATGTATTCATGGGTGGAGGGAAACCTGTTCAGAAACATACCTGTGAGGTAAGGGAAAGCACCTTATAGGAGGAACACCTGTATGGGATCGAGCTCAAGTGAGGGGAAGAACTTGGAACTTCTGCATGGGGCACACTCACATTGACGCACATCTGTGGGTAAAACCATCAGGGCAGGGGCTCACATATACTGAGGCCCACCTGTCAAGGATGTATCTGTGAGAAAACACCTATTTGGGGGCACTTGCACGGAAAAAAACCTCTGTATCACTCCATGCTGTATGGCACCTGCAAGGAACAACTGTGAATAAAAACCTCTGCTAGGGGCGTCTCTTAGAAGAGACTCATTTGTCTGGGGCACACCTGTTCCGGCACACCTGTCTAGGCAGAGGCTGGGAGTGAACCAAATGTGCCCTCACGGCTGTATCTTTGTTTTCTTTCTCTCTCTCTCTGTCTCTTTTCTTTTCTTTTCTTTTTAAAAATTATTTATTTATTTTTGGTAGAGATGGGTGTCTTGCTATATCGCCCAGGCCGGTCTCAAACTCCTGACCCCCAGCGATCCTCCCATCTCGGCCTCCCAAAGTGCTAGAATTAGAGGCCTAAGCCACTGAGCCTGGCCAATGCTGTATCTTTGGATAAACGATGATGATAATAACAAGACCCCTTCCTGAGGACCCTTGGGTGACGAGTGATGATTAAAGAATAATTAGGCCAGGCCGGGCGCGGTGACTCACGCCTGTAATCCCAGCACTTTGGGAGGCTGAAGCAGGAGGATCACCTGAGATCAGGAGTTCGAGACCAGCCTGGCTCCCACACTTTGGGACGTCTAGGCGGGAGGATCACCTAACGTCAGGAGTTCGAGACCAGATCAGCTTGGCCAACATGGTGAAACCCTGTCTCCACTAAAAATA